GTCTGGTATTTCAGCTTTTCTTATGTAATCAAGCTGAGGGAGGTGTGTTTGGACAGAAGGACATGGGTGCCCTGGCATCATGTGACATGAGTCATATGAGATAACAGGGGCCACTGATTCCTTGGCATATGTATGTAGAGTTGGGGATACCCACCCCCCCTCTTTTCTCTTCTTGAGAGGTCAGACCTCGGACCTCAATTAATCCACTTATTGATTGGTATTCCATCAATCTTCTCAATTGGGCACTAGTGTGGTGTGTGGTTCCAACAATCAGAATCATCCTCTACAGGTATTTGTGCTGACTGCTTTTTGACTAAGGTACAGCCCAAATGGTGTTTTCCAAGGCGGACTCTTCATCTGAAGAAGAGTCCTAGAGAATAGCCCCCTTGTTAGCTACACATAAAATTCAAACGTGGGGGAAAAGTATCTCTCTAGAAGCTGCCACGTACAGACATCCCACAGTCGGCATCTTTCCCGTCACATCAAAATGTCGTATCCTCGTCGTATCGAGATAAGAAACAGGACAAGGTGCTACTGTCCTTGGCGCTAGTCAATATTGTAGCTTCGAAATTGGACAGAATGGAGTAGTATGCCTTGGCGACGCCTATTATTTGTCCAATGTGTAGAAAGACTTCCCAAAGGAGAAACGAGGTCTTATACGAAAATTCCAAGCGTTTGATATATGTGGTTAACAAGACTAGAGGGAGATCAAAATGGAATGGGGGCATACAGCGGCTGAATAGGCACCCTGGACGTGAGCGAGCCCTAAAAAGGCCATGTAGACGGTCTGTACAGGACGAGTTGCTATTTGCTACTGCTCCTGAACCTGGACTTTTCTCTGCAGCGAACTATAGGAGTAAAATAGTCGATGCTGACCACATACACTCTCTAGAGCACATAAAGCGAGTGGTCTGACCAAGACTGGGAGTTGCCTCCATCGAAGACATATACTCCTCGCCGCTCACCCTATTCCTCATTCTTACATGCCTGTACCTGACTTTCACTATAACAGGTCGCACACATGGAATACTCATTAGAAGCACTGGAAAGAACCTACACGCACCAACTAGGACCCATCGACACCGCCCTCGAAACCTTTTCCCCTCTCACCGACGCCGAAATCAACGAATTCTTCGACGAGCTCGACCTTGACCACGACGGCCTCGTGACTTTTGAGGAAATTGAGAAAAAACTCCAACTCCTCTACGCAGAACTCGCTCCCCATTTCCTCATCGAACCCACACTTGCTCGAACCGCCACTCTCGGACCCGATGGACTACCCAGTCAAATCCACCATATCAATCGCAGTAGCCGCACCGCTCAAGAAGGACTGTCCGATTTTCTTCGTAGTCTTCTCCCCAAGAAAAAACCATCAACATCTCAGGATGCTCAGGATGCTCAGGATGCGCAGCAACAGCAACAGCAACAAGAAGGCATCGACCGCCAAACCTTCCTCCACCACGTGCAAACCTGGAACGTCCCCAGCCGGCTCCAACAAGACCAAACCTCTCTCCACGAAGCCGCTCTCGTGCAAAGAATCCCTCTCCCCCGCCGTCTAGCAGCCTTCTTCACCGTCCACGGCCCCAGCATAATTTTCATATCCCTCATAATATCCCTCCAAATCTATTTCGCGCAATACTATCTCGTGCGCTACATTCACAAACCCGCTGTCATCGCCTCATTAGGTTGGCCGATTATTTTGACCAAAACTTGCGTCGGAGCACTTTTTCCGACGCTGGGGTTCATGTTGTTGAGTATGAGTCGCAGGTTGTCGACGTGGTGTCGTAGGTGGAAGTGGGTGAGTCGGGTGGTGAATTGGGATCGGAGTCAGGTTTTTCATCAGAGGATGGCGCTTGTGGGGTTGGGGTTGGCGACGGTGCATAGTTTGGGACATTTGGCGGGGACGTTTGTGTATGGGTCGAGGGAGGGGAGGAGGGAGGCTACGGAGAGGGTTTTGCATGTTGATGCTGTGAGTGGAGGGATTCTTCTTTTTTTTTTTTTCTTTTTTTTTCCTTCTTTTCCTTCTTCCTTTTTTCTTTTTCTTTTCTTTTCATATTTCCCTTGTCACGATCAGAGGACACACACTTTATCCTGACTGTATATCATAGGACTCTGCGACATATGGATGGTTCATCCGTTCCAGGCCTGGTTGGACAGGCATCATGGCAATCACCACCTTTTGGACAATTGCTCTCCTTGCCCTTCCTCAAGTCCGAAAAAAGCATTACGAGATATTCCAAATGGGTCACTTGCTCATGTTTCCACTAGTAAGTCCCTCCTTTTTACTTCTCATCCCACCCCAACATCAAATAACAACCCAATTCCCCAACCAGATAATTCTCCTCATCCTCCACGGCTCCGACAAACTCCTCGAAAACCCACACATCGGCTACTGGATCGGCCCCGGAGCCATCCTCCTCTTTCTGGAACGAAGCTGGCGGCATTTCGTCTGCGGTTTCCGCCCTTATCGAACTCGCCCCGACGCCCTCGCGGACGGCATCACGAGGCTGACAATTTTCTCGCGCAACGGCACCAACTGGAACTACGAAGCAGGACAATACGTTCTCGTACACATTCGCGAAATCAGTGGATTTGAATGGCACCCGTTTACAGTCTCTGCATGTCATGGAAATCGACTCTGTTTACATATCAAAGCGCAAGAAAAGGGCAGCTGGACGAGAAAATTGTTGATGAAAGCACAAACGTGTACTTCGTTGGGAGTCTGTCTTGATGGACCGTTTGGAGCTCCTGCACAGCAATTTTATAATTATGATCATTCGATTGTGATTGGAAGTGGGATTGGGATAACGCCTTTTTCGGCCATTCTCAATCATATGCAAACCAGCTACAACGACGATCTTGACCCTTGGCAAGAATCCAAGAGAAGTTCTCGGGCTCGCAAGTCTGCTTCTTCTTTGGTGAGAGTTTCCATGGTACCTTCGCGAGATGCATCACCTTCTTCGATTGCATATCGTGGCCGTTCGGATTCTACTTCTACCATTGACAAAGAAGAAGAACAAGAAGAAGAAGACACTACCACCACCACCCAACAACTCGAACTCGACGCTGCCTTACCCAGCACGAACCGCCATTTCTTCTCTTCCCGAAGAAGATTTATCCCTTCTCATTCTCGCTCTCGCCCCGGCGGAATCAGCGGCAGCGAACATCTTCTCCCCCCACTACCCTCTCACCACCGCCACCGATCCCTCTCCCCATCCGCCTCCTCCTGCGACGAAAACTCCCCCGAAAACGACGAAAACTCCGAAAAATCCTCCCCATCCCCCCGCACAGTCCACTTCCACTGGCTAGTCCGCTCCCAAAACAATCTCCAATGGTTCTCCAACCTCCTCAACCGCGCCATCGCCCTGCGTATCCCCGGCCTGGATCTCCAAGTCCACACCTACATCACCTCTTCCCCCTCCTCTTCTGCATCATCATCAAAAATGTCCACACACGTCTTTCGTTATCTCTTGGATAGTTATCGTGCCCCCGAATCTCCTTATTCGGCGCTGACGGGTTTGATTCAGCCTTCGAGGTTTGGAAGGCCGGATATGGAGGGGATTTTGGAGGCGCATTTTAGGGGGTTGTGTGAGCGAAGCGAGCAACGCGAGCAACGCGAGCGCCGTTCTCACAACCGTTCTCGCTCCCACAACCGTTCTCGCTCTCGCTCCCACAGCCGCCCTCGCACTCACTCCCAAAACGACGAAAATTACGAATTCCCCAAAAAGGACAACAAAAAGAAAAAACTTCTCGTAGGAGTATTCTTCTGTGGAGCTCCGGCTTTGGGTTTAGTTTTGAGAGATAAATGTCGGGAATTGACGACGAGGGGGTATAGTGGAATTGGTGGAGTTGGAGGAGTTTCAGGAGTCAAGGTCAAGTATGAATTTCGGATGGAAGTTTTTGGATGATTGTTATGAGGAATTGGGGGGGGG